GTTTTGAAAGACATTATTTATAGAGGGGGAGTGAATTGCGGGAAAACCCTAAATTATAGATGTAGGCGGATTTATTATTATTTTTAAAATAGGATGGAAATGAGAAACAGAATATTCAGAATATGCGTAGAAGTAGGTATTGTTCCCCCATTATTTGACAAGAAAATTATTCTGAATGATTGCATTGCCAAATGTGACGTGTATATATTGAAATGAAATTTAGCTGATAAAAGAAGAATGTAGTAACCTAGAAGTATAATTTGTTACATTAATATCGGAAAATCTTACTAATTAATATGTAATCTTCCATATATTGGAAAACCCATGCTAGAAGGCAACAGTTTGAAACCATATTAATTTAAAAAATGTGTAGGAATGAGCCATATTCTTTTTAGATGTTTATCGGATAAAACTTTAGATATGGGTCTTTGGATGTTTTAAAGGATCCATGTGTTTATCTGTTTTAAATTATTAATGTAGTTAATATTTATTTAGAAAGAAAATTGATATTAATGCTTCGTCACGACTGATTCTTCAATCAGGTTTCTGCACTTCACCGACCTTGCCATGTCACATTTATGACATGGAATAAACATCATCATTGACGTGTCAAGAAGATCAAATCTGTCCAATCAAATTAAAACAAATCAGCCAAAATGCAAAAGTCTTCATTAAACTACATTGTCATTTAATATATAGGATTGAGATTGTGGGTTCAAAGTCAGCTTATGCATATTTTTGTTAAATAAATATCATAACTTTGATGATTTATACAGAGATATATACATGCTGTAAAATCTATAAATGGCTGTGGATTGTTTTATGTGTGACTTTAAAGTAACGAAATTGATTTTCATTTTATAAAGGTGAGAGTCAATCTTGCAAAAAGAAATAAGGGTGATGGGTTTAACTTTTTTTGGATTAAACCCTTTGAAAAAACTATTTTGTGCGATCAATCATCTTAATATCATGAGAGACAGAGTATACGTGTTACTATTAAATGATAATATTACCAAACAAAGATTCAGTCAACCACTTACATTTATATACAAATAAACCTGAAAGTGCATCATATATTTCGATACATTGTTTGAGAAAAAAATTATTAATAGAATTATCATAATATTTTCACATTTAAAGTTATTTTTTATTTTTTGTAGCTAGTATATAATATTTTATTATATAAAATAAATTCTCTAAACTTGGACGCGACATGTAAGATTTTTATAACTCATTAGATTATGACATTTGTCAAGATTAATTAAGATATCGACATGTGTCAATGTAATAATATAATCTTTCTATTCTTTATTATTTACTCAAAATAAGAAAAAATGAAATAAATATCTTTTAAAATGGAAATTATTTAATAAAAAAGTAAAGAAAGTAAAATAAAACAGAAACTACCATGAAAATTATGTTTTTGGAACCTTAACATTTATCTAAAGAGATTGTTTATCATATTTATGAATAATATGAAATAAATTATAGGGGGTGTTATTCAATCTTGGTTTTTAATAGAGTCTAAATCCATCCACAATCCATTGTTATTCAATAATTGATTTTGATTTCTCTTTCAAAATCAAATGTTATTGGTTCATGTATTTACAATCTCTTCATTAATAGAGTTTGAAATTCATTGTTATTTAATTAAAAAGTTGAATAAGTCAATTAAAATCTTATGTTATTCATGTTTAACAGATTTTTACAGCTGATTTTAAGTGAAAGATTTTAACTGAATTTGAACCTATTTTTATATGTTAAGATTTCACTTTCTGTAAGTTTTTGATTTAACTTTTTATTTTATTGTTATTTTAGGTTTATCAATGGTGAAACAAACAATTTATGAGGAAGATGACTCATATGTAGACATTATGTTATTAATGCTTGTGGGATCATTAACTACGTATGAGAATCAGATTAAACGTCCGATTCGGCGACAAATCACGAGAGAAGGGCATGATTATATACAAAAAGCTTTGAAAGAGAATCCTATTCATTTTCGGCAATTGTATCGTATGTATCCTGATGTGTTTGCAGATTTATGCTATCTTATCAGAACAAAAACAGGTTTAGAAAACACACGATATGTGTGTCGAAGAGATGCTTGCTACTTTCTTGTTGACAGTTGGCCAAAGTTCAAAATATTGTCACACGATTGACACTTTTAAGAGATCAAAGTTCACAGCAAGTACAAATTTTCATAAGGTTCTCAGAGCTTTGAACACGCTCGCACCAAGTTTGATGGCCAAGTCTACTCATACAGTACCTGAACAAATAAGCCAAAGCAGAAGATTTTATCCTTACTTCAAGGTAATTCTCTTTTTTGTTTAAATATTATTTCTACTAAATTTATATATTGATAACTTTAAATTAATTTAGGATTGTATTGGAGCTATTGATGGCACACACATTTATGCAATGGTAAAAGGTCATGAAAAAGCTAGTTATCGTAATCGAAAAGGATTCCTTTCGCAAAACGTACTAGCTACCTGTAACTTTGATCTAGAGTTCATGTATGTTTTAAGTGGATGGGAAGGTTCGGCTCACGACTCAAAAGTTCTACAAGATGCCTTAACAAGAAGAACTAATAGACTGCAAGTTCCGGAAGGTAATTTCTAATTCAGGTCTAACTAATATGATCATAAATGATGTAATATTTTGAATTTAAATGAGTTTTTATGTCTTTTGGTGTTTCAGGAAAATATTATTTAGCTGATTGTGGATTTGCAAATCGTCGTAATTTCTTAGCTCCATTACGAAGCACACGATATCATCTACAAGATTTTCAGGGTGAAGGACGTGATCCAGCAAATGAAAATGAACTATTCAACCTTCGTCATGCGTCTTTGAGAAACGTCATCGAGAGAATTTTTGGTATATTTAAATCTCGGTTCTTGATATTTAAATCTGCACCACCATTTTCTTTCAAGACCCAAGCAGAGATTGTTCTTGCGTGTGCGGGTTTACATAATTTTCTTCGTAAAAGGTGTCGGTCAGATGAGTTTTCTAGTGATGACGAAGAGGATGATGATGAAGAAACTGAAAATCATAATTCAGAAGAGAATGATGATGCAGGAAATGTTGAGTCCCAATATCAAGAAAGAGAATATGCAAGACAATGGAGGGCGACCATAGCTGCAGATATGTGGAGAGATGCTACTATTATTGGTAGCCAAAGATAATTTATTCATTAGCTTTTTATAAGGTTGACGTTTTTAGGATTTTTGTTTTGGTGGCTATTCTTTCAATGTGTCTCGACTCAAAAATACTTTCTTGAACCCTTTATGATTTCTTTTTAGAATTTTTTACTTCTTGTTTATTACTTGCTGTACAAATGTAGAGAACAATTTTGCAGATGAAGATGATCCACGTCTTGCCTGTTTAACAGAGAGAGAGAGAGATCAATTACCTACTAAGATTCCAGATAGGAATAGATCTTGCCGAGGCTATCTTAAGGAACAACCTATTGCAAAATGGTTCTCTACATTTGTCATGAACTTACTCCATCAAAGAAACGGATTTTTGATGATGGCTTACGGAGACCTGATGGTTGCATGGATGTTGGAGGAACCAAACCACCATTGATAGCTAAACTTTTGTGCCCTCCTTAGCATTAGCTTGAAGAACAGATGCATCTTTAGAGTTCTTGAGAGGCTTCACAGTTTGCAACGTGTTATCATTTGCATGACCCTTTTCATCAGAGACAGTTTCTGATTATCTTTAGTCATTTTGCTAGTGGCACAAGCTCGTGATGACTCTGATGGACGTTCACTGATCGAACCAGCAGATGGATATTCTAGGATCCAAAGGCTCTTTTCTTGTATACTTCAAGGTCTTGGACGATGTTGATTATAATTGAGTTTGTGTTATATAAAGTTAAGAGTCGTGTCTGTTAAGTTAGGGTGTGTTATTTCTTTAAGAGTCACAAGTAGAAAAGACACAACTCTTTGTTAAATCATGTCTGTTGTGTCGTGTCTGTTGTGTAACTACTTAAGATGTTGTAACCGTGATGTAAAAACCAAGTTTGAGATTCAATAAAGAGTCAGTTTCTGTTCTTACTTTGAACTCTGTTTTTATATCAAATTCTGTGTAGAAAACAGAGTGTTTTATCAGATATTTCTGATACTTAGAAAGTTCTTGTGTTTATTCAGAGAAGCACAAGTTTCTAACAGACGAAAGAGACACGTAATACAATCTTCAAGATAGAGTTGTGACTAACCCGCAGGTAATTTGGAATTCTTCCCTTGTTTGGCTTTGTTAATATCTATCTAGTGATGCACTGGTCATCGATGTTGTTGACAAGTGCCTGACTTTGCTGAGTCTGTTATGTGGCTTGGAAGTGGATGTACTAGTACCTATTGCACCACAGACTGTATCATATGTATCGTTGACAAATTATTAAAATATCATGGTAAGCCAGAACAAGTTATGACAAGCTTCTAATTCATAAAAACAATAGACGCAATTCGAGTTCGTTAACCACTAGAAGAAACCCGCTACTCTCACGTTGTCAGGTTAAACCCACTACTCAAGCTTTTACTTCTTGTTTATTACTTCTGTACATATCCACGTTAATTTGCTTACTTGGTTTCAAAAATAATATAAATGATACACATCATATAAATATTTAGAAGATTCTCATGATCATTAAAATATCATATATCACAAGTTTTTTTTCTATATCTTATTCTATCAACTCAATATTCATCTTTATCTAGATAAGTTCATGTTTATCTTTATATTAGCTTCATCTTTATCTTTAACAACGATCTCTCTCTATATATACACATTTCTCAAACATAGAGATCATCAAACTCAAGAAAACAAGGTTAGTGTATTATTTTACTATTTTCTTTTGTTACTAATGCATACATGTTTATTATTAATTGTTTCCAATAACACTAGCTCTCTCTACTTTGCTCAATCATTTTCGTTTTTATTTTGTTTTGAATCTGTGTTTTTTCATTCATGACTAGTTATCTTTAAACATCATCACCATGGGAGATTCAAAAAAAAAGAGAAAAGAAAAAGGTGATTACAATCCATGGACTCCAGATGAGACTAAGTTGTTAATACAACTTCTTGTGGGAAGGATCAACCACAATTGGCGTGATTCTAATGGTAGCATAAGCAAACTAACTATTGAGACGAAGCTTCTACCAGATCTCAACAAAGGTGTTTGTCGTCCAAAAGATTACAAACATTATCAAAGCAGAATGAAATATTTAAAACAACAATACCAAAGTTGTGTCGATCTTCAACGTTATTCTTCTGGTTTTGGCTGGGATCCTCAAACAAAAAGATTTACAGCATCTGATGAAGTTTGGGATAGTTATTTTAAAAGTAAGTCTCTCGTTCAAACAATATATTATCATACTACCTATTACACTTTATTAATATATTATTTTGTTTTTATAGGCTCATCCTAAGGATAAAAACCTACGTTATGAAACATTTGAATTTTTTGATGAGTTTCAAATAATATCTGGAGAAGGTGTTGCTACCGGGAAAAATGCAATTGGATTAGGTGATAGTACAGATGCACGTACAAACAAAGAAGAGTATGTGCATGGTATTGATGACTTATATGACTTAGAAAGAACAACTCATCGCCATGAGTCTCCAGAGCATTTTGTACCATTTGATTCCCAGAAAACTTCAGATTATCGTAGAGAGAAGTTTCAACCAAAGAAAAGAGCTAGATCTGAGAGAGGTACTTCCAAAAAAGATGAAAATTCAGTGATGGGGATTAGCAATCAAATCTTGAATTTAATACAGCAAAAAAAAGAAAGACAACAAAGAGAAGCGGAGAAAAATCAGAATAATGTTTGGGATGCTATAAAAGAAATTTTGGATTTAGAAGAACGTATATGTTACAAAGCACTTACCAAGATTTACCATTTGGGAATACAAGATGTTTTTGTTAGTATGTCAGTGGAAGAAAGGTTAGGATGGATTCTAACCAATATGGAGTGAATGTGGGTTTATTTTTTCTTAGGTTGCAATTTTTTTTTTATTGTGTTGGCTTTTTTTTCTTTGTTTTTTTTTCTTACGTTGTGGTTTTAGATTGATTTTTTTTTCTTTAATCTTTCCAAATCCAAAATTTATTGAGAATTCTATTCTATTAGATTTTAAATGATAGCATGTGACTTTCTAAATACACTGCTAAGTAATTTAAAATTTTAAACAACTCATATATATTAGATTCTAAATTAATTAAAAAAATTAAAATCTGATATAATCTAATCTAGTGGAGTTGATTTCAACATACAGATTGAATAACACCCCCCATAATTTCTTAACAAATATAAAACAATGATTATAAATAATTTTATGGAATTTTAATTTAGATTCTAATTATATAGATCATAATTATGTCTAAAGATTTATCTATTTTTCTATATATTACGCAGGGTCTGATAGTAATATAACCAACCAATTCTACCATAATCAATGAGCAATAATTTATCTATATATATATTATTATATTATATGTGAAGTCTTAATCTGATATATCGCGTTCACAGCGATTCTCGAAAAAAAATAATGACGTGTCTTATTATTATTCGTCTAATTCGCTTACGTCTCATTTTTACTTAAATCAAACCGAGAATTTTTACTTAAATCAAACCAAAAATCCCATTTCAAATATAGCGATTTTTTTAAAATGATTTCGAATAGTTTACCTGACCAAACGAATTCTGATTTTGTTTCGTTAATTACAACTAACCAACAGGTTTTCAATATAAGTTTTAATTATCGGTTTGATTTGGGTAAAACGGTTGAATTCAGAATAAGACATTTTCCTTGATAAAAATCCCATGTCGGTTTCACTTAAATCAAACCGAGAATCGGATTTAAAAATATACCGATATTTTTTAAAATGATTTCGAAAGGTTTACCTGACCAAACGAATTCTGATTTTGTTTCGTTAATTAAAACTAACCAACTGATTTTCAATATAAGTTTAATTATTGGTCTGATTTAGTAAAACAGTCGAATTTGGGATTAGCCCTTTTCTTTGATAAAAAACCCCACAAAATCAAAATATTCTGATATGGTTTAAATGTTTCAACTAACTAATCGGATTTCTGTATTAATTTGATTACTTAAATTTTGGTATAGCGTAATTCATTCACAATTAGATTTTGATATTTAACCTCATTCATTATTTGAAGAATAAAATTTGTTTGTTGTAAAAAGTTAGTTTAACTAAACTAAAACAAAAAGGTTAAATTTACAAAAAAATACAATTGGTAAAGCTATTACGCCCATATTCAAGATATAAAAGGATAATAGAGACACACACACATATATATATATATATAAGCATCTTCTTCCATGAAAGAGCAATTTATGCATATCAAAATAGTTAGATTGACAAACTGAATCAAATAAAAAAAAAATTACCAAAAAACGTTCTCTAATACTTCCATCTGAATATCTTAATTGTAAGTTAAAAAATTCAACAGATAAATATACCAAAAATTAAAAACCCTAATTCTTATTATCTTTATATAAAACCACTTTTCATAACTCCTAACCCTTTAATTCACGCAGCTACACATCACCAAACGCTTAAATAGGTCGTTCTCCAATTTTTTTTCCCTTTTGTGTGTTCTTCCTCTTGTGGAATCATGTTTAGGCCAAGCTTGACGCATGCATTAGTTCAATCACAAGGTAATTTTCTTAACACTTATCTTCTTTTAAAACGCACTGATTTATTACCTCATAAATGCAGCAATATACAAAATAGAGTTCCAGAAAAGAAGATTACCACATGCGCATATAATTCTTTTTCTCTTAATTTCTTAGTTCTTCGCGAGGAGATCGACAAGTTTATTAGTGCGATTCCTGATAAAGATGAAGATCCCCTTTTATACAAGATTGTTGGTGAGGTCATGTTACATGGACCATGTGGCACAAACAATCAGCGCAGTCCTTGTAAGGTAAATTGGAAAATGTTGAAAGTTCTTCCCTAAGGCCTTTAATCCTGAAATAACTATTGATGAAGCTGGTTACCCGAAATTATCGGAGGCAGAACGATGTTATTCCATACAATCAGGATCTATTGATTCGATTTTGAGCCCACATCAATGTCGAATGGTGCAACCAATCATGCTCTATTAAGTTCAAATACATAACCAAAGGTCCTGACTACATAAGAGTTGGAGTTAGTGAAAGCGATAAAAAATGAAATAAAAGAGGATTATAGTTGGAGGATAAAATGTTTTTTTTTAACTATTCTTTTAAATTTTTTTTCATTACAAACCAAACTTTTTATAGTTCTAGTAAATTTTTGTTAAAAGTAGTGAAAAAGAAAACAATCGAATAGGATATGGTAAATATGGAAACAAATACTGAGAACAAGACGAATGGTGGTCGTCTTGATAACCGGTCTAAATGTTTTGGCATAATCGAGACCACATTGTTGTGTATATCCCTTTGCAACAAGACGCGCTTTGTGGCAATCAATGGTTCCATCGGAGTGAAATTTGGTGATGAAGATCTATCGACATCCAACCAAATTCTGATGTAGCTGTGGAGGCACAAGATCCCATGTGTGATTAACAATTTGAGCATTGAATTTCTCTGAGGCAGCTTGACTCCATTTGGGATCTTTAAACGCTTGATTTATTGTCGTTGGTTCATTGATTTGTTTAGTCGGTCCTGCAACAGCAAGAGGAAACTTTTGTATTGGTTTTTGAATATTATTTTTGGCCCTAGTTTGCATTTTATGGACATTTTGGTTTGGTGGCTGAGTGAGTATGGAAGCAGAGGAAGTTAATTGAGAGGGGGTGGCTGATTCGAGATTCGTATGACTGGTTCGGTTTGAGATTGGCTGATTTTGTAGTGATGATGGCTGAGTTGTGGGATTCAACTCATTTTGTGTGAGAGCAGTTGGATCATTGGACATTGGGTTGTGCTGGGCTGTGGGTTGAGGCCCATTATGAATTGGAGCAGTGGGCTTAGAGTTTGAAGGTGAAGATGAAGACGAAGTAGCGTTAAAGGGAGATACCTGAGCATTCAGAGTGGCAATTGTTGGTGGTGGTGACGGCGGATGACGGTGATAGTGAAAGTCCAGATGTGGGGGTCCGTTGCGAGGTGGCAGAGGAGGCTTCTGAATCGGTACTGGTGTGATAGAAACAGATACTGGAGCAGAAGGCTCACATTCATTCTCCATAATTCGAGCCTTATCTGCTTCTCGAAATGAAAACTGAGTTTCATCAAATTGTACGTGGCGAGAGATGTAGATCCTTCATGTGGGTCGATGAAAGCAATAATAGGCGCTTTGAGTCAACGAATAGCCAAGAAACACGCAGAGAAAGGAGTGATCTGCAAGTTTATGAGCCGCATATGGTCTAAGCCATGGAAAACAGAGACAGCCAAAAGTCCGAAGCTTTTCATAGTTGGGCAGCTGATTGAAGAGCTTATGAAAAGGTGAGAGCATCGAGAGGACAGGAGTTGGCATACGATTAATGAGATACACCGAGGCAGCAAACGCATATGGCCAATATATTTTTGGAATCAACGCCTCAGATAGTGAGGCCCGTTTCTACTACATGCTGATGTATTCTTTTAGACAATCCATTGTGCTCAGTCATGTGAGGAGGCGTTGTGAGGTGGGAAATACCACTGTAAGCCAGATAATCTCGTAGAGCAACAAATTCCCCACCATTATCCGAGAAGAGAGTACCAACTCGAGTTGGAAACCAATTTTCAACAAGGTTCCTGAAGGCAATAAAGGTGTTTTTGACATCAGACTTGCGCTTCAGATGGAACAGCCAGGTCTACCAAGTAAAATGATCTATTATAATTACATAGTATTTTTAGTTATCAGTAGATAATATGGGTGAGGTCCATACATCTGTGTAGAAGTATTCAAGAGGACGATGAGACACTATTGAATTTTGAGAAAAAGGTAGCCGATGGCTTTTATTAATGAGGCAATCTGAGAAAGTGACAAGTTTGGTGTTTATCGAAGATGGTTGAATTGAGAAAGAAGAAACAATAATATTTAAAATAGAAGAGGATGGATGCCATAATCAGGAATGCCATTGTTGAAGAGTGGCTCTCGGTCCTGAAGCAGATAGAAATACCGTCACTTGAGATTTTGAAACTGGCCACTCATACAACTGGTCTCTAGTTTTCCCTTGGAGCAACGGGACCCCCGTACTGAGATCCTTCACCTAAAAGGATGCAGGAAAGAATTCCACAGAAACTCCATTAGTATTGCATAGTTTGTAGAAAAATATAAGATTCTTTTGAATGTCAGGAACACAAAAAATATTGTCTAATTTTAATGTTCGAAGATGAGAGGGAAGAGTGGTAGAACCATTGTGGGAAATATTCAGAGTTGAACCATCAGCAAGTAACACATCATCCCCTCCATTGTATGCCTGATGGAGAGAGAGATTGTTAAGATCAGAGGTGATGTGATGAGTTGCACCTGAGTCCAGCAGCCAGTTGTTAAAAGTGTATGGAGCATTGGCAACATGATTGGCTTGAGGTTTCCATGGTCTGAATGGAGTTTGTGGCATCTGATTTGCCGATGCCTGGAGTGACTGCAGTTGTGGACATCGACAGCAGAATGACCCTGAGTATTCCAGTATTGACACTTGCCAAGGTAAGGTCTTGGTGTGTGGGAATCACTGTGAGGCTGAAAATGCTGTGGCGACCAGTTGGTATTGTTGTTGGTGTTGTTGTAGTGAAGATTGTTGTTGGTTTGTGTGGAGTGGTTGTAGTTGCTGTTGGTGGAACCATAGTTCCGATTGTTGTTGTTGCTATTACGATGCTGAACATTATTTGCTGAGATCGGGAATTTATTGTTGTTGGCAGGTTCAGCAGAGCAGAGAAGGTGTGCTTCATGGTTGAATAAACGTTCGTGTCTTTGCCTTGGATCTGGTCCTTGACGGTCTTGTAGTCTTCAGGAAGGCCATCAAGAATGCGATCAATAGCATCTTCATGGTCATATGGCATGCCAAGAATTGCTAGTTGATCAATCTCCGTAGTAATACCTTGAATGTACTCATCAATGGTCTTTGTGCCCT